TTTACATACATACTGTGGCTTCCAGGACAAGCACACAAAAACGAATTTAAAATTTCAATTTGCCCAATCGTTTCTGCCGTCTATTTTGAATAGATGTGATGCTGCGGCTTATTCAATGTGAAAAAGGTATAAAAAACTGCAATAGGCAGCGTTCGATCATTTATGATAGCACATTGTGTTGAAAAGCGTTTTACCAAAAGAAAAAAATTACGAATGAAATCGACGTTAGACCAAACATGCTCCAAGACAGCTGTCATACTGTAGCTTTCGAATTCCGTCGGTAGTCGCAACATTTCCGTTTCTGGTACCTGATCTACTTAGCTTAAGTGTACTGAACTTTTGTTTCTAGTCACCAAAGGGTCAGTGCTGCACTCCATCGCTCCAAGGAATCAATACTGATTAATACGTGACACCTACCTAAAAATCTTGGGCACCTTGCGTTGTCAATTTTCAGCTGTTTATTTATGAATTTCAATGTCTCAATGTCTTGGGAAGAAGACAAGAACGAAAGTCGCAGATAACATGTCATAGCAGGTATTGGTAAATGAGTACTAACGACGAACAACCGAATACTTGTTTCTTCATGCGTCTCATGCAAATTTGTTTTGAGGAAGTGTGAAAGAACGAGTCATAAAGCTGATAACAGCCAAAGAGCTTTTAGAAACAATGATCAAATACGGCCATGTCATTTTTATATACGATGCGATTAATAAACAGTAGAAAAGATACACTGCCATTCATGGTAATCGTTCAAAGCCTTCGGCAAAGTAATCTAGGTGACGTAATATTGAAAGATTCACTGACCGTGTGTGGCATTTAGTGACCAGTTTCTATTTGGACGAATCTGCATCCAGAACGAGTTCGCCTACGTCGGTAAGCACCGGTATCATTCTTATCTCTGGATAGAATATCCTCTTTTGTCCTCTGCTACTTGTACAGTAACTCAGCGTTTCTATGTACGGCTGAGGATCATTCTCTACGCCATCGTGGTCCTCGTCGCTTGCACAGCCAATTATGTTGAAGTTTCCCAGTTCGTCCGTCACCGTACTTCTAAAACGGCTGCATTTCAGGAACCTGTTAGAGAGTTAAAACGAACTGTCCTCCGCATACCCCATTTTATCGTCAGGGTCGTTGACGTCTTCGTCACTGTCGTATATTATAACACGTCTGTGGGCCACCTTAGACGGGTCTCTGTAACACACCAGTCTGCCTGTTACGTTCACGCACTTGTGAGTACCGCATGCCGGTTTCACAGTGAAGTGAGCAATCAGAGTTAGAAGCACGACAACGTGGAGTATTCCTTAAATGGCAACGTTCTTACACGTTAAATTAAATATGAAACATATGCACAAATGCCACACGCATCGTCTACGTCTGGCCCTTTTATAATCCCCCGCTGCAAGAGCTGCTGGGGGCCTTAATTCAGTCATAGCTTCAGGAAGCATGTTCATTTATGTTCTTCGAAATGAACATCCAAAGATATTTTCATTTACGTGTCTTACATCGTCATGTCCCAACTCCCAATGTTACCCCCAGAGTGGGAACCATACCGGTATTGATTAAAGCAACTCATCTGTGATTTAGTTATATCCGGTTATACGGCAGTTTTACGAGATCATTATTTAGCCTGTTTACATACCTAAACTTTAACAATGGTGCGTTCATGTTTCAGTTTTCGCCGTGGCCTTCCTATAGGTCGAGGCTCAGATAATAATGCAATTGAAAGCACCCAGTCAGATTGGATGGAAGGTCAAATTAGCTTCACTCCATACCTGTAGGGAGAAATTGCCATTCTTTATGGCAAAATCAGTAAAGCCTTGTGTGAGTGCCGACAAGCCCTGAGTTGAGGTCGGTAGCTCGTGTCACATTAATGCGTATAAAATGCATGTTTGGTCACAAGTTGCTTGTAAGAGTGCAGATTTTACGATCCTCGCTGGCTGTAATAGTGTATATAAAGCACTATGAAGACACTACTACATGACACATGAAAAAGCGTCTATGCTGATTATACTAATAATTCAACAAAATATGTCAAAAAAGCAAGAAAATTTTAAACTATTACAATCTCATGCTCTCTCGTGTTAATTCCTAGTGTTATTCGTTTATGAGCTCTTGATACAAAACTGATTTCTGTCTAGGTGCCATCAGCTAGGAGTGCTCATGATTTCTTGGAATGAAACATGTGGGGAAAAAACTATTTTGTACTCGTGCTATTTCACTCACCTCACAGATGATTGGAAGGCACTTTTGAATTTTGAAACCACAACGTTGTCTCTGAGCAATTCTGATCATATCAATCGTCAGAAATATTGGATCATAGACGGATTGTGCTAGCAGGCGAATAACTCCTTCAAGATTAGATTTCACTGAATATTGCACAATTACGTTGGTCCTAGTTCCTACGGGGCTATTTTAGCATGCCAGACTCAGTAGTTCATGAACGTCAGCAATGCTCACAATCAATCTCTCTCTTTCTCATCAGGAACGTTGTTTTTCAGGACCTGGTAGCAAACATATCCTACATGACATTTGTCCGAAAATATAGGCTCATACGACGGAGTATGTTAACATGTAAACCATTCCCTCAAAAACTTAAGGTCCTTCAATATTACGATGAAAAGGTGTTCGGTGGACATAACGGCAATTAACTGATACCATAGTGTGATTACTCCCGTCCGGGAGTGTCATCACATAACCTGAGGACCGGATGTCGTCGTATTGACATGTATCGCAAGATGGTCAAAACAACAGACGTTTCTTACCCATGTCTGTCGCTGGTGAACCGCAACAATTTTCTGAACGCGTCTTTCTTTGCGCCCTTCCTTAATGCAAAGGAGTGTCGTTATCCTTCATCTTTACCCAGCAACGTTGTAAAGCAAAAAGCGTGATTCACGTGTTTGTT